TCCAATTTTAGAAGCATGTTCAATATGCCATGTTCACTAATGACAACATCAGAAATGGGTGAAAAAAGATCATAAAAATTTGGTATAACATCATTGTCCTGCGAGAAAGCCGATTTGGAATGTTCATTAAATGCATTTGAGATTTTTCTATCATCATCAACTTGAATACCATCAATTTCAAAAACATCACAAGATCTAGAAGATGGAGATATTATTCGCCAGAATCTCTCAGGAGACGTGGTTATGAAATGCGGTAATGATTCGCCATAATAATGTTGTTTGTCCATAGCTAATTGATTTCTAAGCTGAGTGGAAATATTAGAAATTTTTTGATTGAATTTTTGTGTGTCCACGCATGCCTTCTTTTTTCCTTTTAGTCGCTCTAGTTTCCTCCGCAGCCGTAATGTCTCCCGAGATATCCAGGGGTTATTTTTATTCTTTTTTACAATGCATGTTACAAATCGTTCAATGCATTCATTTACAATACCTTTGAAGCAGTTCCAAAGCTCATGTGTATTGGCAGTGCTATTTTCAAAAGCGTCAAAGTTGAAAGAAAGCATGTCTACAATGGAAACGTCGTCGGCACGAGAGAAGTTTTGGAAACACAAAGTTTTGTCATCTTGGTCCACAGAGACGTCATCTATGGTCAATAAAACAGCCTGATGATCGGAAATTCCAGGTACTACCTCACATTTAGTAGGTTTAGAAAGAGTTATATACGTAAAGAGAGGGGACGGGACAACACATCTTTCAACTTTCAACAAACAAATGATTTATTGCCGGACGCTTCGCCTTCGGAGCTTCACTCTAGGAGAGGGAAAGTTAAAAGGAGGGGGAAGGAGGAGGGGTCAAGACAAGGCCCCGGGAGAAAAGCTGGGGGAAGTATCGCAGAGACAGCGGGAAGGAGAGTAAGGGAGGAGGCGTCCCGATTTCCCTCTCAGGAGCAAGGACCACTCGCCCGGCCCGCCAAGGTCGTCAACTCCGGTTTCAGGAATGTCACTTCCCTCTTCGACAGAGACAACGAGGCAGAGGAAATGTACTTCGGCGCCTTTTTTATGGCGTACGCCTCCACGATCTCACGCCCGTAGCGGTTCTTGTGGGCCCCTAGAACACGCGCGGACGGGAACTCGGGGCGCATGGAGCGCAAACCTTGAGGTGATGGACCATGGGGTGTTGGGAGTCCTCGTCGTTTTTTTTTTTCTATTCCACTTTCATGTTCGCGCAGACGGTCGTTGAGGCAGCGGCCCGAAGGTGCCAGACAGGAACCGATGCAGACACCCGATTTTTGTAGGTATATCTTCCCGTCATGCTCCGCCATAGTCGACCGAAGATATACTCTGATTAATTGCAGGAACGCGCTGAGGGGAATGCCGGAAGAAGTTTGGAATTTGACGATACCCTGTGTAGTGATGTCCTTTACTACCGCATCCAGGAGAATGTTGAAGTCGAGGCTGTAGCACATGTCGGTGATGTCTAGGGAGAAGAAGGTGGTACCTGGACCTGATGTGTGAAGAAGCTGGAGAGCTGGGAGGAGTTCCTGAGAGCTGCCCACGCGGAAAGGCTGGTACAGGTGGACGGCTGCCAGGTGCTTCTGCAGGTAGAGAGCCAGAGGGTTAAGTCTGCCAGCATCCATTTCCTGATACGATGCTCATAAGAGGGATCTCCGGCTTGTGGGTCTTGGCGTTGAAAAACACTTTTAGGTACTGGTTCGCAGGGGCCGACGCTTTCGTGAGAAGCGAAGAAAGGTTGTTCGACCTGCAGATGTCTTTCACTTCCGAACGGAGGGTGCCGGACGGCCTTTTCTTACCGAGGACGAAGTTTTTCTTGATGGCGAGTTCAACATTCTCACCGAAGTTAGACTCGTTCGTGACCACAAACACTCCGGCCTTGTCTGCCTCAAAAGCCTCAGGTCAGACCCCCTGAGTTCATTCACCACTTGTGGAAATTCTGGTTTGGTTGGGTGGGCTGCTCCATGCATGCACACCAAACGGGAACCAACACCGAAGAACTCTTGTCGGGCAGGCTTCGGAATTCTCGACGCGATCTGGTGTAACGCTGCGAGCTGATCCACCCTTGACGGTGTGACAGAGGGAGCGAATTTGGGTCCCTTTGAGAGAAGCGCCTCGGCTTGCGGTGAATGGTTCGAGCCCGAGAGATTTAGCGGAGGCTGAAGTTTGGGACACTGGTTCGCTCGTTTTTCTGTGGATGCTGTTGCAATTATGACCTTCCAAGATGAATCAAAAAGGTCTTGTCCTGATTTGGCTAGAAATATGTACGAAGGGTGAACTGTAAAGCGGGCACCGAAGATGCCCGTCATAAGGCCGGGAAGTGACTTCTGCATGGCAAGGATTTCCCGCGAGAGCTCACTGCGTGCTATCTGCATGACTCAGTAGTTGGCAGTCCAGCTGGCAGTGTTGAATCCAAATACCTGGTGGGACGGCGGGGTGAGGGATGGTCTTCCTGAGGTAAACTCCAAAGGATCTCAGGCGCAGGCGGAGGAGATAGTCTCGAGATGAAGATGGCGGCACGGAGAAAGAGGCCTGGCTGGAAACCCGAAGGTCCGATGCATGGCGGTTGTGGACGTGACAAACACTTAGGTCTCGTAAGTAATACACTTGTTAGTGAGCGCGTTGGTAATGATGTTCGTTTAGAAAGAGTTTAATACGTAAAGACAGGGGACGGGAAAACACATCTAGGGGTGTTGTCCCGTCCCCTGTCTTTACGTATATAACTCTTTCTAAACCTACATCATTACCAACGCGCTCACTAACAAGTGTACATCTTTCAACTTTCAACAAACAAATGATTTATTGCCGGACGCTTCGCCTTCGGAGCTCCGCTCTAAGAGAGGGAAAGTTAAAAAGAGGGGGAAGGAGGAGGGGTCAAGACAAGGCCCCGGGAGAAATGCTGGGGGAAGTATCGCAGAGACAGCGGGAATCCGGTGATGATGTCAATGTTGATGCCGTTGGACTGCTGTACTGAGGCGACGCGACGACTGCAAGTGCAGCAGAAAACCAAGGTTGCCAGGAGGAGTAGATGTCTGGTTGTGGCAGCACGGGAACTTTCGGCAAGCGCGCTCCCTCCAAGGAACACCACGGGCTTGTTAGGGACGGACAGCCGCGAAACATCGCCGTGAACTGCACGAAGAAAAAGCAGAAAGCGTTAACTGACTGCATGACTGGCTGTTCCATATGCCCACTGAAGGGCCGAGGGGCGTACCGGCAGTTTAAGTCTGGTGACGATGTCAATGTTGATGCCGTTCGACTACTGTATTGAGGCGACGCGACGACTGGAAGTGCAGCAGAAAACCAAGGTTGCCAGGAGGAGCAGATGTCTGGTTGTGCCAGCACGGAAACTTTCGGCAAGCGCGCTCCCTCCAAGGCACACCACGGGCTTGTTAGGGCCGGACAGCCGCGAAACATCGCCGTGACTTGTACCAAGAAAAAGCAGAAAGCGTTAACTGACCGCATGACTGGCTGTTCCACATGCCCACTGAAGGGCCGAGGGGCGTGCCGGCAGTTTAAATCCGGTGACGATGTCAATGTTGATGGCGTTGGGCTGCTGTACTGAGGCGACGCGACGACTGGAAGTGCAGCAGAAAACCAAGGTTGCCAGGAGGAGTAGATGTCTGGTTGTGGCAGCACGGAAACTTTCGGCAAGCGCGCTCCCTCCAAGGCACACCACGGGCTTGTTAGGGCCGGACAGCCGCGAAACATCGCCGTTAACTGTACGAAGAAAAAGCAGAAAGCGTTAACTGACTGCGTGGCTGGCTGTTCCACATGCCCACTGAAGGGCCGAGGGGCGTGCCGGCAGTTTAAATCCGATGACGACGTCAATGTCGATGCCGTTGGACTGCTGTACTGAGGCGACGTGACGACTGGAAGTGCAGCAGAAAACCAAGGTTGCCAGGAGGGGTAGATGTCTGGTTGTGGCAGCACGGGAACTTTCGGCAAGCGCGCTCCCTCCAAGGCACACCACGGGCTTGTTAGGGCCGGACAGCCGCGAAACATCGCCGTGACCTGTACGAAGAAAAAGCAGAAAGCGTTAACTGACTGCATGACTGGCTGTTCCACATGCCCACTGAAGGGCCGAGGGGCGTGCTGGCAGTTTAAATCCGGTGACGATGTCAATGTTAATGCCGTTGGACTGCTGTACTGAGGCGACGCGACGACTGCAAGTGCAGCAGAAAACCAAGGTTGCCAGGAGGAGTAGATGTCTGGTTGTGGCAGCACGGGAACTTTCGGCAAGCGCGCTCCCTCCAAGGAACACCACGGGCTTGTTAGGGCCGGACAGCCGCGAAACATCGCCGTGAACTGCACGAAGAAAAAGCAGAAAGCGTTAACTGACTGCATGACTGGCTGTTCCATATGCCCACTGAAGGGCCGAGGGGCGTACCGGCAGTTTAAGTCTGGTGACGGTGTCAATGTTGATGCCGTTCGACTACTGTATTGAGGCGACGCGACGACTGGAAGTGCAGCAGAAAACCAAGGTTGCCAGGAGGAGCAGATGTCTGGTTGTGCCAGCACGGAAACTTTCGGCAAGCGAGCTCCCTCCAAGGCACACCACGGGCTTGTTAGGGCGGGACAGCCGCGAAACATCGCCGTGACTTGTACCAAGAAAAAGCAGAAAGCGTTAACTGACCGCATCACTGGCTGTTCCACATGCCCACTGAAGGGCCGAGGGGCGTGCCGGCAGTTTAAATCCGGTGACGATGTCAATGTTGATGGCGTTGGGCTGCTGTACTGAGGCGACGCGACGACTGGAAGTGCAGCAGAAAACCAAGGTTGCCAGGAGAAGTAGATGTCTGATTGTGGCAGCGCGGGAACTTTCGGCAAGCTCACTCCCTCCAAGGCACACCACGGGCTTGTTAGGGCCGGACAGCCGCGAAACATCGCCGTGAACTGCACGAGGAAAAAGCAGAAAATGTTAGCTGACTGCATGACTGGCTGTTCCACATGCCCACTGGTTGTTCTGAAACGTCGACCAGACTCGCCGGTGGCCGGGACATGAAAACGTGGTTTATTGGCAAGCGCTCTCTTTTTACCTCCCGCGCCGGTGACGTATGTCCGGCACGGGCATGCGCTGGAACGCGCCGCTCCTGGTTGCGGTGACGCAGCCGTACGGCGATACAGCATCCCCTCCCCCCTATAAGTTCAAACGGTCCGGCGGCTTCCGCAGGCGCGTAGAGCGCCTGAGAGGAACCGGGTCTGCTGTGGGCGTCACCTCGGGATCGCCGTTGGTGGCGACCTCTCTTTCGTCGGTGCTGGGCGGCCTTGCTCCCACCTCCGACCGGCCGGCGACTCGACGTGCCTTGTCAGCGCCTTCCGGGGACCCTGAAGCGTCTCGAGGTCGCAGCTGGTCCAGGTGCCGTCTCTGTTGGCCGTCCGGTGTGCGTAGCGTGACCATGCGCCGACCCTCACTGGAGACCACAGTCCCCGGTAGCCATCTCCGCCTCGGCTGGAACTGGCGTGACCAGACCGGCATTCCTGGCGAAAATGGCGGTGGTGTCGTGGCCGGGGCTTGCGGCTCGACCACGCTGTGCTGCGCTTCCTCGCCCCTCGGGAAGAAGCCGGTTAGCCTTGTCCTGGGCCTGAAGCCTAACAACAACTCGGCTGGCGACTTGCCCTCTTTCATAGGGGTAGATCTGTAACGACACAAGAACCTGGAAATACGATCTTGCAACGAGCCTTCCCTGTTCTTCTTTAGCCCCTCCTTGATCGTGCGTACTGCCCGTTCGGCTAACCCGTTCGACTGAGGGTGGTAGGGCGCAGTGGTGAAATGACGTATATGGTTCCCTTGTAAAAATCGTGCCATCGCTGCACTTGAAAATTGCGGCCCATTATCGGAAACCACTGTTCGTGGCACTCCGAAACGCGCAAACAGTTCTCGGAGCACTCCAATTGTAGTCTCGGCCGAAGCTGTTTTGAGTGGTATGGCTTCAATCCACTTTGTTTCCGAGTCCACTAGTACTAGAACCATGTACCCTTCCAGTGGCCCCGCGAAATCCAAGTGCAAACAGGACCACCGTTGGTGGGTCTCCGGCCACTTGGAAGGAACCTGTGCCGCGGGCATCGTCCAACACTGTATACATGTCGAGCAGTTATTTACCAGCTTTTCGATATCTTTGTCTAGACCGGGATACCAATAGAGGGAGCGAGCCAGATGCTTCATCGCAGTCATTCCCGGGTGGGTATCATGCAGTTCCGTCAGCATGAACGCTCGCGCAGCTTCCGGTAGAACTACGCGATGCCCCCAGTAAACGAGGTCGTGGCTCACTGTGAGTTCATACCTGCGGCTGAAGTACGGTAGGAACTGGTGCTGCTCCGGGCGCAGGTGCGACGGCCATCCGGCGTAAATCCAGGCTTTTACTTGGCGAAGCAGGCTGTCCCGCGTAGTCAGGGTGGCCATCTGCTGGGCGGACATAGGTTGGTCGTCCCACCCCCGCGTGTGCAGCACATATTCAGAGAGCACTTCACTGCTGCCCTCCTCCTGCGCCGGCAACGGGAGACGACTAAGAGCGTCTGCATTCCCATTGTGGTCTCCTTTTCGGTACTCGAGATCGTACTGGTAGGCTGCGAGTAGTAACGCCCAACGCTGTACTCTAGCCGCCGCCATTTGTGGAATTGCTCTTTCAGGGTGGAACAGCGCTGTCAGCGGCTTGTGGTCTGTGACGAGCGTAAAGCGGTTGCCGAACAGATAATCTCGAAACTTGGTAACTCCAAAAACCAGCGCCCACGCCTCCTTCTCGAGCTGTGAATAATTACGCTCTGCCTTCGTCAGCGTTCTCGACCGGAACGCTATGGGGTAGTCTTTCCCATGCATGCGATGTGACAACACTGCACCCAAGCCGTCTGGCGACGCGTCGCATTCTAGCCGTAACTGTTGCCGGGGGTTGTAGTGAACCAGGAACTTAGCTTCGGCCATAGCCTGCTTAGTCTTCCGGAAAGCCCTTTCCTGATCCCCGTCCCACTGCCATTGCGCTCCTTTTGCCAATAATCTATACAAAGGGGCCAAGGTGGTAGACAAGTTGGGCAAAAATTTGGCGTAATAGGTGACAAACCCCAGAAAAGACTTGAGCTGGCTTACCGAGGTCGGTCTTGGAGCTTCGGTCACTGCCTCGAGGTTGGTCCGCTCCGGATGAAGACCTTGGGCATCGATTCTGTGGCCCAAAAAGGACACTTGCTTCTCCCGGATACGGCACTTGGCTCGGTTTAACTTCAGGCCGTTTTCCCGTAGCCGCTGCAGCACCTGCCGGAGTGTCGACGTGTCGTGTTTCTTTTCTGCGATGACGATGTCATCCAAGTAGACTTGCACCCTTGGGAGCCCTTGCAGGAGGGACTCAATGCGCCGTTGAAACAGAGCCGGTGCGGACGCAATGCCGAAGGCCAGACGATTGTAACAGTACATTCCTTGGTGCGTGTTCAGCACAGTCATCTTTCGAGCCTCTTCGTCAAGAGGAAGCTGATTGTACGCGTTGAGTAAGTCCAGCGTGGTGAAGAGTTCCCCCCCATATAACGCCGCAAAAATGTCGTCAATTTTAGGCAAGGGGTATCGCTCCAGGTGTGTAGCTGGATTTACCGTCAACTTAAAATCCCCGCACAGTCGTATCTCGCCGTTTTTCTTTGCCACCGGAACAACAGGTGTAGCCCATTCCGACACGCTGACCGGCGAGAGCACGCCGTCCTTCTCCAGGCGGTTGATTTCCGCCGACACCTTGTCGCGAAGCGCGTAGGGCACCGGCCTCGCCTTACAAAAACGGGGTCGCGCATCTTCCTTCCTGTACAGCTTTACTGGTGGGCCCTGGCAGCACCCCAGCTTCTCTTCGAAAACGTCTGCAAATTCTTCCAGTAGGTCCTGCCCCTCTGCGCCGACCTGCACCATGTTCACCCCGAGCGGTGCCCCAGTTTCTAGAAGCGGTGCCCCTGCGTCGTAAAACGCCCGCAGCGTATTCCTACCGCAAAGCAGCGGCCCTGGGCAGTTCACCACAATCAACGAGCTGCGCACCTGCGTCTGTCCGTACTGTACACTCATGGTGATCTTGCCGACAACGGGCAGCGGCCCCAGGAAGCACGACAAGCGTAGGGGGGTCGTTTCCAGGGCCGGCCACCGTTTACGGTGTCTTTTGAAAGCGCTCTCGGGAATTACGCTGACTGGGGAGCCCGTATCCAGAATCATTCGCAGCTTCCTGCCTTCCCATAGCAAATCCCGCTCTATCGGCGGCGTCGTGTCTTTGTTGGCTGTACTGTGAGCCACCAGGGCGTGAAGCATTTCCTCGCCACTCTCTTCCTCGGTGTTGATGTCCGCCAGCGCGTACGCACCTGGCTGGCTGGGCCGACTGTACTTGCACACCCTCGCCAGGTGTCCCTTGGTGCCGCACCTGTGGCATATGGTCTTGCGGTGCCGGCAGTCGTCCTCGGAGTGGTTCGCGTCGCACCTCCAGCACCAGGCGCGTCGATTCGCACCGCTGGTTTCTTGTCTTGGGGGCCTCCGCCGACCTTGGACGAAATGCGTACCGCCGGCTGAGTCCTGGGGGGCCGTTCCCGTTGCCCTGACGTTGTTATCGGCCATCTCAGACGCGATTACGAATTCCTCCGCCTCTTCCCGGCTCAACTTTTTACGCGTCAGCAAAACCCGTCGCGCTTCGTCGTCCCGTATGCCGCAGACGATTCGGTCTCGCAGCATCCGGTCCAGGGTGTCGCCGAACTTGCAATGCTTCGCGAGCCGCCGCAACTCTGCCACGAAGTCTTGTACTTTCTCCCCCTCTTCCTGTTTCCGCACGAAGAACGAGTAGCTAGCTGCAATCTCGTTGGCTTGCGGGTCGTAGTGTTCTTCTAGGTAGCCAACCACGTCTGCGTAGGACAGGCTGTTGATGGACGCCGATTGACAGCGGTCTTGCAGAATTCGGACCACGTTGTCACTTAGGGAAGACACCAGCAACGCGCGACGTTTCGCCGCGTCCGTGATACCGTGACCCTCGAAGTACGCCTCCAACCGGACCCGGTATGTGCCCCAGGTGCCTGCCGTCTCGTCGAACTGCGGCGGGCGTGCCGCCATATCGGTTTACCCTCGTCGCCACTGAAACGTCGACCAGACTCGCCGGTGGCCGGGACATGAAAACGTGGTTTATTGGCAAGCGCTCTCTTTTTACCTCCCGCGCCGGTGACGTATGTCCGGCACGGGCATGCGCTGGAACGCGCCGCTCCTGGTTGCGGTGACGCAGCCGTACGGCGATACAGCATGTTCCATAGCTTTCCCTAGATCGACACGAATTGCTGAGATCTGGTCCGGTTCGAAACGGACGAGTAACCCGGACAACTCGGAGACATTTGAAGCGGCAGCAGCCAATCGGGAATTTGATATTTTCACGTGACACCCCTGGGGTGGTGATGATGATAACAACTGAACTTGCCATCATCATCATGAAATTTGATTTTCCTTGCACTATTTAGATGCACCGTTACATAAAAGACATATTTTTATATCTTTAAATTGTTCTGAGAATACTAACTCATCTTTTTGAAACGGTTTATTTCCAAAAACGATCAATTTCAAACCAGAACCAGGTCTTTAGTTGTCATCGTTACCACCACAGGGATGTCACGTGAAAATATTGCATTCCTGATTCGCTGCTGCCGCTTCAAACTTCTCCTAGCTGCTCGAGTTGTTCGTCCACTTCGAGCCGAACCCGATCTCAGCAATTCGTGTTGATCTGGGAAAACCTAGGGAACAACCCGCCAGCAACCTTAAAATTGCTGGAAAAGTTGCCCCGTGTGAAGGGGGCCTTAGTAAACTGAAATCAAGGGCAGTGGAGCTCTTAATTCAAGCCCACGTGGAGAATTTTTGTTTGCCTTTTTTAGTACACACACACGCACACACACACACACACACACGCACACACACACACACACACGCACGCACGCACGCACGCACGCTCGCACGCACGCACGCACGCACACGCACGCACGCACACACACACACGCACACACACACACACATATATTTACATATATACGCATTATTTGCACACTAATTCACATTCAGAAGTGCTTTTATTCACACTCTGTGGCTCCCTAGTGTTTGCAATAGCTTCTTGGTGAGATATTGCGAGCTCTGCAAAGGGAGGGGCATCTTTCCACCCTTTGCAGGTTGTAAAGCTGTAGCGCACAGCTCTAGCAGGCCGTACCTCGCACACTAACTCCATCACGAATCATAGGTGCTGCATGAGTCGCACCACACCGTAAGGCTATATATGGTCGGGTCACAGTACCTGGGACCATTCGTCACTGCACTCAGGTATGATACGGTAGCATGGTCGGGGCATGAAGCAGGGGTACAACTTGTAAATGCTGATCTTCACCACATTTGAAACACATTTTTTTACTTTTGTGTCGAGTTGTCAGCATTTTAAGGGTGAGGAAGCAAGCAGCAGCGAGAGCAAGAAAAAAAATTGAAAGCCACTCTTACTGAGAATCTATTATGGGCACTAGGAAGCCGCGGAGTATAATTAAAACGCTTCTAAAGGTGAATTAGCATATGAATTATGCGCTAGCGTCTCAAAAATTGAGAGAAAAATATTTATATATAATTAATAAGTGTAAAAATATACACCAGGAGGACCTAAACCAGAACTACACAGTCTGTAAGTTTGAAATTTGACACATGAAACCACTCGGCCACCACCCAATTTTATTTCCAGGTCGTTCATCGAGGTATATGAATTTCGTTTGCAGCTGTCGGCTGCAAGAGAGATTGCCTTATTTTCATTTACTTTACTATTGTCACGGGTGATGACCAAAAAACAGGAAATAAAAAGGAAGAAATAAACGTTTAATGTGGCGAACTTGTGCCAAAAATAAAAGGGTACAGAAGATAATAACAGAGCGTCGCGGGCGTCGAAGTCGGCGTAACAGCAGAGTCGAACGCTGGGGCGAAACTGAGTCCGCTCGCCTTCCGGAATCCCTTATGTACCCTCATGGGTTTCTGGATTGTTCGGCGTTGAAGGTTCGGCGCGTAGAATATTCTAACCTCGAATCATCAAGACGGTTCTCGAATTCACCAGAACGTCACATTACAGTGTCAACAAAAATGTGTAGCCGCGGCCAGGAATCGAACCCTAGCCTTCTGCGTGTAAGGCAAACGCGAGCGATAACCTTCAGGCCACGTGCGCGCTGCCTACTTGGCCAGCTGCGCGCGCGGCACTATTCCCACCAAATATGACAAGTGACCAAAAATAGAACCTCATTTGTCGGCCGAGGCACTGTGCTTGCATCAAGGCAAACTAGCCTGTCTTGCTGGGCTGATGTTTTGTTTCATCACCCGTTTAAGATTCTGTTGTCGCTCATCAAAAAAAAAAAAAAAAAAAACTGACCAAGTTTGACTCTTTCTGGTGTGCACACTGTTAGCAAGTCCCGTGTATTTGGCGAATATTTGAGGTGAAAAACACGCTATTTACACAAATTGCCATAAATTTACACGATGAGTAACGGATAATTCGTTCAGAAATCATGCGAGGTTGTAAAAAACGTGTTTTGGTTCGGTCATACACGCATAACCGTGTAGCCGACCTCGATAACACGCATCGCCCCCGGCGACGACCGCGGCATTGCCGGCTATCGAAGCACCGGAATGCTTGGGGACACAATTAGAAAGGACCGTCGAGACGAATGCCGCGGAAAGAAAGATGTCTCGGAGACAGGTATGCACCAAAAGCAATTGCGCCATGTCGCAGGACGTTGGCGAAACCCGCGCTTACCGTGCTCGCCGCCATCTTCTGGTCGATGGCAATGCGGCTTCCCTCATGTCGCCCATGTTTGTATTTAGTTTAGGGGTCCTGATAACAGTTTCTTAGACACCACAAATAAAGTTATGGGTCTAATTATTCGTTCCAAACAGTTAAAATGGGTATAAAAAGCGTGTCCTCGATGTGAACACGTGACATTGCAGTTGGTTTCGTTTTTGCTTCAGCCTTCAACTGCAAGCGATCTGGCCACGGCGCAAGCGCAACGCCGATGTACGCTGGAAGCAAGCGCCCGTTGGCTTTCGTTTTTGTTTGACCGGAGAAAATCTGACAAGTACGCATGGCGCCGCTACTGTTTTGGTTTGACGGGACGCGAGAAGCTTCGCATAGAGCTTCGGAGTTTGCGAGCACATAGTGAAGACGTGACTGGAGAAGTGCCCCTGTGATGTTCCTGGAAGACGGAAAGTAGCATTCGTAATCGTCGTGTGTACTTTGAAAGCGAAGGGAGTCACAGGGTCCACGAGTTCGCAACCACAAGCCAACGTTCACGACAGCGCGGCGTTGACTTCGGCGATCTCGTTCTGTTTGGTGCAACCCGGCGATGCGAAAAAGAGCTGAAACATTCGTCGTTTGTGGTGCGGTGCTTTGTATTCCGGGTCTGTTTGAACCACGCTTTTAACACGGAGCGCAAATTGTTTGTTGCGTGGTGGAGGTTCAACGGGTACAGTCCCGTCGTCGTCAGCTGATCCGGTCCAGCTGGTCCGGGAGGACGCAGCGAGCGTTTTTAAAAGTAAATCTTACTTCGTTCCGTTTCAAACTGTGGAAGTATCCCGACACATACCGTGAGTAAGAAGCAGCGGGCGTTTTCAACAAAATTACGTTGTTTTAATTGAATAATGGACTCCGGATTGTTGTCTTATATCTGCCGTTTTTTATGGTTCGTGTTGGACTGCGTCTGCATAGCGACGCACACCGCTCGAGTAGATGATTCGGTCCTGCAACAACTTTGTTGCGCCAATCATGCGGCGTGAATAAATTAGGGCAAGGTTTCCTACCTGCCCACAGGTGCATGTACTGAGACCATTTTTTATGTTGTCAACGTAGAGCTCTTTCTTTGTTTTGGAAGACGCGTTGGTACAATTATTATGGTACAATCACTTGAGAGTTGAGAAATTGGAGAGCGAGCAAGCTTTCTCAACTATGTCTCTTTCACTCTGGCACTGCCCTGTTTCAGTTTCAGTAGGCATATATACTAGCAGGTACAAACTGCTCTAAATCAGGTAAAAACGGGAAGCTTAGGACGGTGCGGACTCCGTGTTTCGCGCTTTTCGCAAGGTGACAGGGTAAATGCTTTTGTGAGATATGCGGAATATGCAAGCGATTTTGTTATGCCCGTCGTTTGCGTCTCTCCAGCAAAACGAATAAGATGATCTACTACAAAGGCGCAATCACAAGCCAAGATTTAAGATAGCAGTCGTTTGCTTCGGTGATCCGTGTAGCTGTATTTTACCCTGCTCTCTGCAACACCGTGTCATGACGAAGAGCTGGAACGGTCACGGTTTGTGCTGGCCTCCCGGTTGACAGAAACCCGCGTCGCACGCATCGGCACCGAG